TTGTAAATAATAACCTTTGTTTTCTGTAATCTTTTTAGGCTATTGTTAAAACTTAAAACTACTTTATACATGAAATTGCTTCCATTTTAGATTCAATTAGCAATGAGAATCAGTCCATCATAAAATATATTTGAAGCAATGTCCTCATACAAGGTCGATGATTTCTTCCAGTTGCTTCTGCTTTTGTTTATGTCCTGTGATTTATCAAAAATATGCAGCCTTGGTTATACTATTCTATGAAATTCTTCTCCAAGGAGTAGTTTTGTTGTCTGAGAGCATTATTGTCCTGAAATCCTCACAAATCTTTAATATTGCAAAACCCAATCAAGTAGCCTGGAAGCATCAGATATGACCCTTTCTAGGCAAAGAAGTAAAAAAAAAAGTCACACCAATGAAGGAAAACATTCGTTATGCATTAATTTTCTGAATGTTTCACAGCATTCCTTCTTTTTTTTATACTGAAGATTTTCAATCATATATACTAGAGAGATATCTGTGTCTGTATACAGATAGATGTAGATATATGTGTGTATTATGTACCTATGTAAACATTGTGTGTGTGATATACACACACATAAAACTGACTCAACATCTGGCATTCATCTTCATGAATCCCCAACTATCCATACCTATGGAAATCACATATTTCTAGCTTTTCCTTGAATCTTTTTGTTGCTCTAGTTGAAAGTCACTTGTTTGTACTGTAAAAAGCCTCACTTAAAAAATTAGAAATAGCTTCAACTCTCAGGAAGATTTTTCACTTATTTGGACTTTTTTTTCAATAAATCAAAATTTCCCAATAGCTTTAAATTTTAAAAAAACTATCTGATCTTTAAATTATTGTTTGAAGGGTTTCAATTAACTTGTCAGTTTATGAGTGCAGTGTGCCTTGATCAGTGTCACCCTGTCCATCATTCTCTCCCTGCCATCTCTCCCAACCACACCCATCCCTGTAAGCACTCTAGTTCCATTTAACATAAGTATGTTAAGTTGCTGTAGTCACCTGCTATTTCTCTATTTGTCCACCTGATCATGGTTTTTTGTTTTTTGTTTTTTTGTGTGTGCTAGTCCTGGAGCTTGAATTGAAGGTCTGGGTGCTGTCCCTGAGCTTTGTGGCTCAAGGCTAGTGCTCTACCACTAGAGCCACAGCTCCACTTCTAGCTTTTTGGTGGTTAATTGGAGATAAGTGTTTCACAGACTGTCCTGCCCAGGCTGGATTTGAATTGTGATCCTAAGATCTCAGCCTCCTGAGCAGCTAGGATATATTACAGGTGTGAACCATTGGTGCCCTGACCAATAGCTTTTTTAAAAGAAGTTTTATAAACTGGTTCATGTCTCCATTGTGGTCTCTGCAATATCTCAGATTCTACATGGCATAGATGTTTTGGGGGCTCCTCATCAAACTTGCTAATATGAATTCACCAAATGACCAGTATCTTGGTTCTGGCTCTATGATTAAGAATATTTAAGGCCTCATATTTTTGCTAGGGCTTTTTTCTCTCAAGGATAAGCAAGATTATTTATATTTTACTAATCATAGTCTTAAATTACAGAGCCTATGATAAAGTTCCCTACTGTCAAATTTTAATACCCAGCTCTGAATTCCTGTTGCAAATGTATCCTTGGCTTTCCAATTAAGATGGGCTTTTGTGAGTAACCCCACTGCCATAGCCAATGGCTTGATAAAAAGTAACTTCATTTGCAGCCAGGGTTTTTAGGGAACTCAGTGCAAGGCTTACTCTCCTGCTGTTGCCTAGAGCCAAGCTGTGCTGAAATATTAAACTTTAGTAAATTAGGTGAAATTACAGCTTCCTGGCTGTTACGATAATGCCCTTTCCGTTAGCAAGCGTTGTCTGTACAATCCTTCTGTAATGAGAGAAAATTCAGAATATCTTCTAAATCCAGACTTCTCCATTTACAAAATAATTGTGTCATACACGTTGACTTAGCAGAGGGCTTGAACCCAACTATGTAGATTTGTATTACTATATTATTTTAGTTCTCTGAGAATATAACATTTTCTTGTTATGTCATATACAGATAAGCAACTGGAGCCCTAAAATCATCAGTCTTACATAAAAGTAGCAACCTTTCCTTAGTACTTATTTTTAACAACAGTGGTGAGCAATACAAGGAAATCATATTTTGCCACATTTTTTTCCATCTTCTTGTTCAATTTTCTCTAAGAGCAGCATTACTTCTGGAGTGTTTTTATTCATTGATCCAACATTTATTGATCAACTGCTGTGCGCAAAGTTCTGATTTGTTTGCAACCAAATATATTTTAGCAAGGAGGGACTAGGAAGCCTGTATTTCTCTTCTTGGCATATGTTGCTCTTTTTCTTCTGACAAATCAGTAGTGACAGCTTTGATTAGATGTGTAAACTATTAGGTTTTCCATTAGTTTCTTCCAGTTTAAGACCTTGTGCCTTTAGGAAGCTTACTTGGGAGCATCAAACTAGTTTATATGTAACTATTTTGTTACTTTGGGAAGTAACTCCATAAAGTTAACTCATTAAAACTTTTTCTTCTTTCCTTTACTGATAGTGGTACTAGGTTTTGAACTCAGGTCCTCACATTTGCTAGGCTGGTATACCTATTGAACCATATCTTCAGCTCTGCTTTTTGCTGGTTAGTTGGAGATGGAGATTAGTGAGCTATTCTTCCTGGGGTAGCCTTGATTCTTCATCTTCCATGTCTCAGACTCATGAGTAATTAAGATTATGGGTGTGAACCACTGCTACCTGACCCATTAAAGCTCTTCTAATGGTTAAACTTTTTCAAAAGATTTTTTTTTAAATCAAGGTTCTCTCAAGATGGTGGAGTGTTGCTTTGGAAAAAAATCCATTCAAAAACATAAAACGATTAGTCTAGTGAGACTTCAAATAACCACTATGCAAGTTGTGTTTTATTAATATTCCTCAAGAGCCCAGTTAATGATATAACCTAGGAAGCTTGCTGGGTAGGGGCTTTGGGGAAGCCATGTGTAGACAGGAGAGCTTAGCACTGAAAGACGAGGAAACTTTATTCTAAATAAAATAATTGGAGAGTCACACTGTCATTGGCTCACTCTCCTGGAAGAAATGAGGTACTAGTCAATAAATGAGATACTTGTCAACATGCTTAAACCAGGAATCTGAATCCGTAGTTCTTCCTGCTTTACCCAAAACATATAGCCCAAGACTTACACAATAGAAACTTCTCTAACCCCTGACAGACACAAGAGAAACTTACTTTCAAAGTCCCGGGAGGCTAAGTCAGAGATCAAGATATGCCAGCACGATCAGGTTCTGGTGAGAACCCACTTTCTGTTTAGCAGATAGTTGGCCTTTGGCTGTGCCCATGCAGAGAGCAGGAATACAGAAATCAAAAGGTTTACTGTCCTTTCTTAAGAGCACTGGAACCCTATCACCAGACACTCACCCTTCAGGATCTGATTCTCTCTCAAACCTCCATATACCAATGCTTTGGGGATTAGGGCTTGGCTTCAACAAAAGAATTTTCAGGAGACACAAGCATTTAGCAATGATAAAGGAAAAGGGTGAGGCAAAGTAAGCTGAGCAGTCTACTTGCACAAAGGGAGACTTGTGAATGTGGCAGCACTCAGGGAACTCTTCCTAGGAGTGTGAGCACCAACTATTTATAAGCGGGGGAACTCAGCCACGCCCTCAGAAGAACTATCACCTGATTGGCTACAGCTGAGTGACTGCCTTATATGGGAAGATGGGATGACTTGGCTGTTCCTGATTGGCTAAAACCCGGTTGCCTGTCATTGGCTGAGACTTAGGTGTGGGGTTGTATGCCTGAAGGAGGTACGGTGGTTGGTGAGGTGGGAATTTAAAGTGCAGCTATAGCTCTAGACTTATGGATATTGTTGTTGTTGTTGTTATTTAGGTCTGAGACGGGACTTGAACTTGGTACCTGATGCTTTCACTCACTGGCTGGCGCTGTACCAACTCAGCCACGCCCCCAATCCCCAGCAGTAGTGCAACTTTTTTTTTTTCTGGATGGTAAAATAATAATAGAGAATACATGCATGATACATATTTTAGGTTTGGAGAGCTGTAGGACCTCTGCCATTACGAAATTCCGTCCTTGTGGCCTCAAATCAACATAGCTCCCATAACTATATTCAGTCAGACAACCATGTAATACAAAAAGAGAGACGGTCCCATGAAACTATTAATAATATAAAAAAAAAAATACACAAAGGAACAAAACAGGCAGGCAGTGGGCGGATTGGGATGACTGGGTTTGGTTTCCCCCCCCTTAAAATATCCTGGTTCCTGATACGAATTGAGCTGTCTTGGCCAATCTGCCGGTGGGCGAGGCCAGGCAGGCAGGAAGTTCCACGCCGAGCCACGATCTCAGCAAAACCCCCCTGGAGGCCGAGCGACTCCACAGTTTTCCAAGTTTTGGAGGTGCCCCGCCTCCCTCCCTCGGCTCCCCCGCCCCTTCCCTCCTCCGCGCCCCGGCCCGTCCCCAGCCCCAGGCAGACAGGAGTTGGTGGGGTAAGCGGTGGGTCTTCCCTGGACTTGTAGCCAAAGAAAAGGAAGAAGGAGCCGCCGCGGGAAGAGGACGCAGAAAAGTTGGAGCCCAATCAGCGCGGAGTTGAGCCCGCGCGTCCCAACCTTCAGGTGACCCCGTGCGGCGGCGGCGGCGGCGGCGGCAGCCAGCGGCGGCGGCGGCAGCCAGCGGCGGCGGCGGCGAGGGCAGCGGCGGCGGCGGCGCGGTGGAAGCAGCCGCGCGTCGGCAGCTCCGAGCGCCTCCGGGAGGACGGGCGGCCAGCTCGGGCGGCGCTCCGTCACCGGCCAGCTCCGGGAGCTTCGGGGGGTGGAGAAGAGAAGAGCCCGGCGCGGAGAGTGTGCGGGTTGGGACCCGGCACCCCCATCCCCCCCACACACCCCTCCCCACTTCCCCGAGCGCGCGGGCCCGCGCCTCCGCCGCCTCCGAACGCTGGGGGTGTGCGTGGCGGCGGCCGCGCTGGCGGCGGCGGCGGCGGGAGCGGCGAGTCGGGGCCGCTCGGGCAGCGCTTCGCCCGGGCAGCGCTGGCGGCGAGGGCGGCGGCGGCGGCGGCTCCCGTGGCTCGCGTGGCTCAGGATGCGGCCGGGGGGCGCGCTGCTCGGGGCGCTCGCCAGCTTGGTGTTGCTTCTGCTGCTGCGTCGGATGTGGTGCCCGGCCGACGCGCCCGCCCGCTCCAGGTGAGCCCCGGCGGGCACGCCCCGCGCGCCCTGCCCCGCGCGCCCCGTCCCCCGCGATCTGCCCCGCGCGTCCGGCCATGCGCCCCCGGAGCTCCGCGGGACAGATCCGCCCGGCTTGGGCGCGCACATTTTGGGCCACGGCAGAAACGCGGCTGCCCGCTGAGTACTTATCGGCGGGGTGGGCTGAGGGGTGGCCGGGGTGTGTGTGGGGGGGGGGACACGCGCCGCACGCCGTGGAGAGGGACCCTGCGGACCAGCCAGGCGCCGTCGGATGCGCCGGGCTCCCGCGCTCTCCACTGGGTCCCCCTTTTCCCCCTCCTTCCCGCTCTGAAGCATTTTCCAACTCCATCCCGGGAGTCCGGGGACGCCTGGATGCCCAGTTCGCGGCGATGTGTCACAACTTAGTTTTCTCCCTGGCCTTCCAGGCTTGTGGTGGAGGAAAACAGGGAGGACACCCGGGGCACCTCCGCCGCGCTAAGGACGCTCAGGAGCCCCGCGACCCCGGCGCCGCGCGCCACGAACAGGTACCGAGGGGCGGGCGGGCGGCACCTGCGCGGCGCAGCTGCACTCCACTGGCCCGAGTGTGTGTGTGTGTGTGTCTGTCTGTCTGTCTGTCTGTCTGTCTGTCTGTCTGTGAGTGGCTGTGTGCGTGCGTGTGGGAGGGAGAGGATAAGAGTGCAGAGAGATAGGAGAGAGAATGAGAGAAAGCAGAGACAGAGAATGAGAGCGGAGAGAGGGAGAAGAGAGATTGAGAAGAGGATGGGAAGGAGAGAGGAGAGAAAAGAAGGGGAGAGGCAGCTGGAGAGGGAGGAAGAGAGGGAGGGCGGCAGAGAGAGATGATAGGGAGAGAGGGGGAAGAGAAGAGGGAGACAGGAGGAGAGAGGGAGAGAGAGAAGAAAGGGAGAGAGGAGAAGGAAAGAATAAGAGAGCAGAGATAGGAGAATGAGAGAATGGGAGAGTGGTGGACAGGAGAGAGGCAAGAGAGGAGAGAAAGGAAACAGGAGAGAGGGAAAGGGGGAGAGAAAAGAGAGGAAGATAAGGAAACAGGAGAGAGAAGAAAAGGAGAGAAAAGAGAAGGAGAGAGGAGGGAGGAAGAAAGGGAGGTGTGGGGAACGGGAGAGGGAGAAGGGGGAGAGATGGAGAGGGACAGGGCAGGGAAGAGGGAGAGGGAGTGGGGGAGGAGGTAGAGAGAGGGAGGGAGAGGAGAGATGGAGAGAGAGGGTAAGGAAGGGATTGAGGGGAGGAAGAGAGAGAAACACCTTCTATTTTTTAAAACCTGTGCCTCCAGGCGCGCATTCTTCCAATTAAGGGGAGACACTAAAACAACCACACTTAAAAAATAGGCACCTGGTGTGTGGAAAAGCCCTAAGAGAAGCTGCTCAGCCTGTTTTTATGGAGGGATTTGCTTGGTTTGCTTTCGTTCTCTAAGCTTTAATAAAGTGCACCAGCGTTAAGATTTTAGGTTGTGGGGAGTGGAATTCTTCCCTGTGCTGTGCATATGTTTGTCTTTAGTAAATGAAGACTTAACCTTTTTTCTTATTGTCTGAATATTTAGCTGTACATGACAATTATTTCATTCTTACCTGTTTCTTTTTCTGATCATGAAAATAGTATGACTTAAGGCAGAGAGTTAGACAATAGAAGAAAAATTGAAAGAAAATAATATTCAGAGTCTCAGTACCCATATCTCCATATTCAAGTAGTCTTTGGTCTATTTTTTTCAATCATTTTTCCTTTATTCCCCCTGTACTTTATTTTAAATGTTTGAGATTTAACTTTGTATTTTGGGTTCTATCATTTTCCCCTAAATAATCAGACTTTAAAAAAATCATGATTTTCAGCTGAGTGCCACAGTGGCTCACATCTGTAATCCTAGCTAATCAGGAGGCTGAAGCCCAAACAGAAGTCCATGAGACTCATCTCCCATTAACCACCAAAAAAAACCAGGAGAGGAACCGTGGCTCAAGTGATTGAGTACTAGCCTTGAAGCAAAAAAGCTCAGAGACAGTGTCTAGGCCCTGGGTTCAAGCCCCAGGACCTGTACCAAAAAATAAAAAACAATAACAAAAACATAATTTCCTCTAAAGCATTGCCTTTGACTGTTAGCCATCATCAAAATATTCTATAATCTGTGTTTTACTTTGATTCCTGTTTTTGTTGTTTGCTATACAATTCCATCCTTTCAATCTTGATCTTCATTTCAAATGAATTCCCCAGGCTGGACAGGTAGAAGTTGGATATTATGAAGTCCGCAAGGATGTGCACTTGAGGTGCGAAATCACGTTTCCAATTGGTTCCTAGAAGAGATGAATCAATTTATGTTTCCCAATAGAAGACTCTGTGTCTCCGCATTGCTATTACTGAGGGAGTCTTGCATAGTGTTGCTCCTTCTTTTTATCTCCTTCCTTTGGGGATCCCCTGTGAGCTTGCCTCTTGGAGCCATCTTAATCTCCTCATTGTATGACTGCAGTTTTCTCCCCCCATGTCCCAGAGAAAGTTCTGGAGGTACCCTTAGAAAACCGTGGAGTGGGGAATAGCACTGTCTGTTCCAATCCCCTTGTTGGCATTTCCTAGTTTATTAGAGGCCCTAAGAAATCCAGGAACAACCAAAGCCTTTGAGAAAAAGAAATATTGCTGTATAGTTCTATGCAGATGTGTGCCTGCAGGTGATCTGAAGTGGGGGAATTCCATCTCTCTCCAAGTCATTCAACTCCTGTCTATTCCGAGGGTGGATCCTTCAGTGATCCAGTCCCAGGTCTCTTTTTGAGGCAATTCTTTGATGATTTTTTTTTTTCATTTTCTTTTGGCAACATTTCTTTTCTACTTGGCCTACATCTTGAACTTTAATATAGGTAATTCCTATTCCTTTGAATGTGGTCCATTTTATTAATTTATTCATTTATAGCACTTGTTCCATATAAGGCCTTCTCTGCTCTTTGATCTGTCCTATATCCCTTTTATCACTGATGATTTTGATTACTTTCATAGCAGGGGAACTGATTTTAAGTTGCTCAGCCATTTGGCTGTGGTGTAGATAAGAAATTGAGTCTCTTCATTTTTCTCTGTAGCTGGTCTGAACTTCATTAATGATGCCAATGGCAGTGAGGTAGCCTGTACTTAGCCTCTTTAGGGGAGATGGACACTAAGCAGTTTATTTTGTCGATTCTTTTTTTTTTTTTTTTTGGTTGGTCGTGGGGCCTGAACTCTGGGCCTGAGCGTTGTCCCTCAGCTCTTCAGCTCAGCTCTTCAGCTCAAGGTTAGCACTCTACCACTTGAGCCACAGCACCACTTCCAGCTTTTTCTGCTTATGTGGTGCTGAGGAATCGAACTCAGGAACTCATGCATGCAAGGCAAGCACTCTACCACTGAGCCACCTTCCCAGCCCCGCAGTTTATATTTATTAACTCAGTTAATTCCTGAAAGGATGCTAAGGGAAATTAGTATCCTCATTTTATAGATGAGAAAGCTGAAGCATAGAGAGATTGAGTAAGTTGCCTAAAGTCATAGTTAACAAATTGGTGTACCCAGAAGCCAAACCCAGACCACATGGATCCAGAATTCCATACCCTTTGTGTGTGTGTGTGTGTGTGTGTGTGTGTGTGTGTGTGTGTGTGCGCCCGCACATGCACACGCATGTGTACTGATGCTGGGGCTTGAACTCAGGGGCTGGGTACTTTCCCTCAGCATTCTTGCTCTAGGCTAGTACCATATGAGCCACAGCTCTATTTTCAGCTTCTTGCATGGTTAACTGGAGATCAGAGTCTAGTAGACTTTCCTGCCCAGACTGGCTTCAAATCATGATCCTCAGATCTCAGCCTCCTGAGTAGCTAGGTATACAGGTGTGAACTATCAGTGCCCAGCTTCAGATTCCCTACTGTTAACTTCCTGCTGTAGATCCTTTCATAGGTACAGGATATGTTCGTGTGCCTGCATTGTATGCATACTTAGGTGTCTTAGGCAGCTCGTTCTGTCAGTGTTTATTCTCTCTAAAAACCCAAGCTCAGTTTCTAACATCACTTCTGCAATCTCTTCTCACTGTAAGATGATGTCTAGCTAGTTGGAACAGAAGGGCTACCTTGATGTAATGGTAAAGATAAGAGTAATGGTACAGGCTCATGCTTCTGTTGACTTCTCTAATCTTCAAAGTGTTGGCCCTTTTCCATTTGTTGGCTCAGTACCCTGTCAGTGGCCAATGGTGAGACTTGCAGCCTGTGATTCTTTCTTTTTTTTTTTCCCTCCACTGCTATTATGCCTGCTGGTCCCACTGTTGTGTTGTCTCGGGGATCTGGTGAAGATTTTGTTTGGATCCTGGTCTAGATTTCACTGCAGTTGTTTCCTACTGTGCTGTCTCACTCAGTGCTAGCTAGCTAGTTCCACAGCCAGCCTGTCAGTTATTTTGGGACCGCTTCAAAACATGCAAAAAACTACAAATGGTTCAGGAAATCAAGTATCAAGGCCAGAGTCTCCTTGTCCTACCAAGTAGACAGTACCCCAGTCTTAAGTTAATTTCAAAGTAAGGGATTGCCTAAGGTGGTCTATTTCCAGACTCTTAATTGTAATTCTTATTAGCTACACACTTTTCTTCCCATGCCAAATCTTTTCGCTGCCCTTGCCTGCCTTTTATTTCATGTTGGACTTACTCGGGCCTCACTCTCCTTCATATCTTCGTTGCTGTAACTCACACCTTCAGGCCAGATTCAAAGCTAAGCGTTAGTGGGAAATTGTAGGGACCAGATGGAAGAGAGTGGGAAAACCAAAGGAGCTGCGTCATCTTGATAAGGGGTTCATGTGCTACAGGGGCGTGGGAATAAGATGAATTTGGAAAGTCTTCCCCTGGAACTGTGCAAATTCTGTTTTGTGAATGTCTATCGTAGAATTTGACCTTATCTTTTTGTATCCCTTTAGTGAAAAGTCTTACTTAATATGGTGCTAGGTAGCACACTCATAATCCTAGCTACTCTGGAGGCTGAGATCTGGAGGATCTAGGTTTAAAGCTACTACCAGAAGATAGGTCCAAATGACTCAATCTAAAAAGAAAAAATAAAATCAACCAAAGAAACAAACAAAAAAAAAAATAGCTAGACTATAGGTGTAGCTTATATGATAGAGTGCCAGCTAAGCAAGAAAGCCAAACCAACGCATCCTAAGTTCAAAGGCCAGTACTATTTAAAATAGAAAAAAAAAGTCTTACATTTTTCATCATCTCCTAAAGGATGGTTCAGATTTTCCAAGGGAAGTTTATGAAAGAGATCTACTAATATTTTGCAAAATGGGACCGTATGACATGCATTCTGTTTTTCTTTCGATTAAGCATTCTCAAAGTGGAGTTGGCTTTATTGTCAAACTAGATTTCTCATTTCTGATGCAGTTCTGTATCCTGTTTTCTTTATGTTGCTTTTTAATTTTAATATAGCATTTTCTTTTCCAGTGTAGTGTCTTGAAGTATGTGCTTGACGATAATAAGTAATGTATAATTTCTCCTTGTAACAAAACTATCTAATATTATAAATTGTCATTTAAATGC